TATCTATCTATCTATCTATCTATCTATCTATCTATCTATCTATCTATCTATCTATCTATCTATCTATCTATCTATCTATCTATCTATATTATAACCATCATCATGTAGTTGTTCAGACTGTGTCACCGTTAACATCCTTATTCTTATTGTTTCTATCGTTTATCAGGTACCAATGCTGAAGTCTTTGACATTTTAATGATTTTTGTCAGTCTCTGTTATTTAGTTAAAAATAAATAAAATATGTCATCATTGTTTGTAAAACAATAATGTTTGTAAAACTTTGAATGTTATTAAAACTGCTATGGCTGCTAAAGATTTTTTTTTAGTGGGGATCACATTGTTCCTGTTGTCATGCTGAATGTAGCTGTCATAATTATACTGTTGCGGAAAAAAAAATTGTTGTTAATATCATTGCCATAGTGACAAGTGATTGTCCTTGTCCACACCATTACTGCTAACCTCATCGTTAATGTCTCTTTTATTGTTTTTGGTAGTTTTTTGTTAAACTATTTCTGTTTTGAGTATAATTATCATAGTTGGGGTTGTGGTCCTTCCCACTGTAGAAATTTTGATAAAGTTATTAATTCTTAACAATGTTGTCATAGTTATTAGTTTTATAATTATTGTTGTCATATAAGTTTTTTTTTATTGCTATCATTATTTTTTTAACCATTATTTATTTTTCCAGACAAACCTCTGCTGCTATTGTTTTCGTTGCTGTTATTTAATTTGTAAAACATCAACTGATAAACTATACATTCCCACTAGACTCCCAGTGAAAAATGTTTAAGGAAGTTTGGCCTCTTGCAAAAGAAATAGTTTGAAATACAACTACGAATGTGTTGAAAATCAATTTTTAAGTTCTGAATCGATTCTCATCTTAATTCCATTTTCTTTCCTACAGTATATAAATTCCTGAAAGTCAATTGATATAACCAAAGATTTGTTTTTAGTCTGTGCTTACTACTGCCATTAACTACCAGTACTAAATTGTTGTTGAATATTAATATAGTACTAGTATCAATATATATTTCTTTATAAACAGTCAGAAAACGCAGGTAATCTCGTAAAGAAATTTCTTTTATTAGCAGCAATTTAATCTGAGATCAGATCAGATGAAAACAAATCTTCAGAATCTAAATTGAACAGATTCTTGAAATTTAAATCTATGCACTTTTAAAACCTTGTACTATATCATTATGCTGGAGCCACTGAATAAAGGGCGTAACACCCTCGCATGTATTTCTACGAGAGCAATATTGCCTAAAGCCTGATATTTAAATATGACAAACTGATGACAAATTGTACTAATGATGTTAATTTTGATGTTTGCAGGTCGTCGTCACGTCCAGACCAGATTAGTGGAGCCCAGAGGCTCTTCATTGAACAGTGGAGACAGCTTTGTGTTGGTCACACCAGAGCACTGCTTTGTCTGGATAGGAGAGTTCTCCAATGTCATAGAGAAAGCTAAAGTGAGAGTTATTGCTCAGTCTGGTTGGACAGAAGCACTGTTCAAATATTTGCATTATGCTCTCTGTTTGTCTTTTTTCCTCAAAGGTGATCTAATTAGACTCATTTTAGTTGATATTTGCTTCTCCCCATCTCTGCTCTGCTTTTTTTACTCCATCAATAACAAGAGTTCAGTTGTGACTTCAATTTTTAGATGCACATTATTAAGTTAATCTTAACACTTCCATAAGTATTTTATTGCCTCCTGGTGGTCAAATCAATTCCTATAACATTGTGTGTGGTGGGAGAAAAAGGAATAAACTCAATAAACAGCAGGAACTATTAGATCTTTACTCCACCAACACCTTATTAATCCTTTCAAGCATGAAAACAGGCTATAGAACAGGTGACCCAGCAGCTATCTCTACCCATGGAAAAAAAACAGTTTTATTACAATGTAAACAATAACGTGGGCTTCGAGGAAACCCCTCCGGCCTCTGTTTCTCTTGTTGACTAAACAGGTCTGATCACCTGCAGTTACAATGAATATCTTAGTCAGATATTCATGATCTTAATAAGAAGTAAGGCTTTAAAAACTGAATCAACATCACCCTGGTCTTTTCCTCGTACATATTGTTTAGATGTGCTTTTCATGTGTAATGTAAAAATGTTTGTTTTTTTATGTGTCTGTGTAGGCGATGGACTTAGCCACTTTCATCCAGACGCAGAAAGACATGGGCTGCAGGGCGAGTCAGGTGCAAACTATCAATGAAGGTGCTAACTCACAGGATTCTGATGCCCAGCAGTTCTGGACAATCCTGGGTGGTCAGATGCCTTATAAATGTAAGATTTTGGACCAGAGCATGAATACCAAATGTTTCCTTTTGAATTGCTGGATTATACATCTGACTTACTTTTTTACTCTTATCGTCCCATAGCGGCTGGTTCACCTGAGGAGGATGAGCGTTTTGAGAGTGGCATTGTGGAAACCAACTGTATCTTCAGACTGGTTGACGACAAACTGGTTCCTGATGATGAGGAGTGGGGGAAGATTCCTCACACCTCCCTACTTGCATCCAAGGAAGTGAGTTAAACTTTGCAGCCTCGTTAAGTTTTAACATTTAACTTGTAATAAAACAAGGCATTGCTAAGTTATTATTGGTTAACGACAGCATGTGAGGCATGAAAAGTAAATGTATGTTTATTTAGTCTCCTGAGTTGACGTTGATTAAGCTGCAAGTGTCTAGTCTGAAAAAGTTCGGCATTAGTCTATTTTGGCTGGTAATTTCAATTCTTAAGTTCCAGACAACATTGAGTTCATCAGTGCAGTTTCAATGAAATATGAAATGAAAGAATGGACTCCAGGTTCACCAAATCTATATAGAGAATCTTTACAGATAGAAGTTACAACTAAAAAATGGAAGAGAATCTTTATTCTCTAAGAATATCAACAAAAACATCAACAATTTGCAACATTTAACAGGTTAATAAACCCTCCTATCTCTATGGCTGATTAAATCTCATCTAAAAAGGCCTGTAATGACTTTGCAAAATGTTTTACTGAGAAAATACAAGATATTAGAGAAGCAGTCTACACATCAACGGCAACTCTAGTACCAATGCTGTCTCCAGTTGAAATAAACCGCTAAAATGTCCAAGTTCTGTCCAATAAACTGCAAATTTTAAAGGAAACTTCTTATCAGCTAAGCTCATCTTCCTGCTGTCTTGATGTTTTACTCACAGGTTTTATTAAGAAAGTTTTACCTGTTTTAGAGTCTACTGTATTTTAATTAAAATCAACAGATCCCTTATGTCGGGTGTTTTACCCCAGACCTTAAAAACAAGAATGAAAAAAAAAATAAAAATAAAAGGTATTGTGTCAAAACATGTATTTTTGGTGCCTTCAAAAATAACAAAGCACCTGAAACTCCTAAAATGGATATTCTAAACACACCTTTTAAATTTTTGACATGTAAAACATTGCAACTTTAGGTTGATTCATTTCACTTTCTCCTTTTTCCTGTTATTCCTTTCCTGGTCTACTTACATTGCAGTGTCCATATAATCTGTAATACTCCCGACATAATCATAATAAAGCTATTTATATGCGTAACTCAAGCAGAAAACTATGGCGATAGCCGTGCTGCTCCACTTGCAAAAGCAAAATACATTGGGCCCTTTTTTGGCATCAAGACAATTATTTTTATTGGCACATTGCCAGATAGGACACCATTAAAAAAAAAAAAAATTCTAGATCAGCTTCTTACTGTATGTTTTTTTTTTATTTTAAAAAGACAACAGCGCTGGAGACTGTTTATTTGATCTCTTTCTAACCACTGGTAAAAAAAGAATAAAAAATTCTATTTACAATTATTTTTGTCAGGGATGTTTAATTTATTAACTACAGATGCATCATTGTTAAAATCAGTTCACTGACTATAATAGCTCTGAGTTTTAGTAGATTGTTAAATTAATCTGTCTGTTCTTCTGAGGGAACAACATGCTAAATCTTTCAAAGTTAACTTTTTGTTCGCTTTGTATTTTTTACAGTCTTAGTGACTAAATATTTTTTTGTAATGTTAATGTTTATTCTGTGACATTTAAAGCGACAGGCGTTACTCTGAATTAGATTCTTTGGATCGCTTTGCCTTTATTTAACTTCAAGGCAGGTTCAGAGGATTAATTAACTTGCTTTTGTTCACTCTATGCTTTGCAGGTGTTGGTGTTTGACTTTGGCAGCGAGGTGTATGTGTGGCACGGTAAAGAAGTGACTCTAGCACAAAGGAAAGTGGCCTTTCAGCTCGCTAAGCACCTGTGGAACGGGACGTTTGACTACACCTGCTGTGACATCAACCCTCTAGACCCTGGAGGCTGCAACACGCTCATCCCCAGGTTAGACTGTGCCAATTAGGGCTGAAACACATCCAACACTCAGAATAGCTTGCAACACTCATTTAACTGTTCCTTCTGTGTATATCTTTGTCTATCATAAAACTTAAGGATGGTACCTGTGCTATTAATGCCATAAAAACATTCCCTCTGGTTCACTAGTAGGAAAAGCTATTACTTTTTCATGCAATTGTTTTTCCTTATTATTGTTGTTATTTTCTTATAAAACAATATAGTAAAAGAAAAAAAAAAACATGGTAGACCTAATAAAAAGCTTTTTAAATATTACATTTTTCAACAGATTTGAAGGATTTTTCAGAGGCATGGAAGAAAATGATCTAATTGGAATCTGCCTTTTTTGTACATCGAATTTTAAACACTGAATTTTTTAACACCATATTTTAAACACTGAGGTTTTTTTAGCCCCGAATTTTCAAATACTGAGTTTTTTTACACACGGAATTCCTTACACTGATTTTTAACAGGTGAAAATTCAGCTGGGAAAAATTCCCCTGCAAAAAAAATGTACCTGCTGAAAATTCAATTGCAAAAAAATTGCCTGCAAATTTGTTGAAATTTGGGTGAACTCAAGCCAAAGCAATCTACACCCAGTGCAGTCAAGCAGCTTCTAGGCAATAAAATGAGCTCATTTGGTCAGAAAAACAAAACAAAACAAAGACTGCCCCTGGCCGCATCTTTCGGATCAAACCAAGAGCCTTGGCAGACAGGGGTGCTGCACTAGCTGTGATCGGCTCAGTTCTTTCACCCAGTCGGATTAGATGAAAAACTCTAATGGCTGACTATTAATAGCTACCTGATGTTTTTTTAATCATATCTATTTATCAAGAAAAACTCCTCATTCATGCTTCAAACAAAGCAATGCCCAACTGTTGTGTTACGTGACCAAATAAGCTAATTTCATTGGCTAAAAGCTGCTCGACTACATCAAGTGTAATTTGCTTTGGCTTGAGTCCACCAAAACAACACATTTGCTGTCAAATTTTTTGCAGCTGAATTCTTTGCAGCTTTTTTGCAGGCAATTTTTTACTAGATAAAAATTCAGTGGAAGGAATTCAATGTGTAAAAAAAAAAATTCAAATACGGTGTACAAAAAAAAAGCCAGATTCCAGTCAGACAGTTTTTCTTCCATACAGAGGTAGACATCATATGGAGGACCAATCTTGCCATAATTGAAAATAGATACAGAAATAAATAAATGCTCCAAAAATAAATAAGCATACAATTAATCCCCCCCAAAAATACAATAAATAAGTAAATGTAGGTAGAAATTAAATTATACAGTGAGAAATAAATGTATATATCTTTAATTAGCTTTTTTCATTTTTCGCCTTTGTAATAATTACCTTATTTATTTATTGTCCGTTATAATCTTCAACTTTATTTATTTATTACTTGTTTTTTTAAGTATTTATGTGCATGTTATAATATTTTTGTCTGGTTTATTCTTCCTTTGTATTTTTTTACCCCTACCCATCGAGATAAGACTAAACAAACCATTGAAGGAGATGTGCCTAAAGGTGTATATACTGCATTGTTTTTAAGCTAATTACACATATCAGTGGAGGGTTAGAATTAAGGCGCATTAAAAACAAGAAGGTAATAACTTTAATCCAGTGCTTTTAATCAATGCATGCTACTGGAGCTTTTAGCTACTTAGAAACTTGTAAGCAACTTTTTCCTTATCTTCATTTAACAGGTATTAACTTTCTTTTTTAATCCCATTTGACCTAAAAAAAAAAAAAGGGACAATTAATTTAATTTCTATTTAAATTCACTCTATTTAATACTTTTTTTTTTATTTTTCTATGTTCAACCATCCATTTTGATGGGATGGCAGGACACGGGACTGAGGCGTACTTGGAGGCATGTGAAAATGTATAGATAGCCAAAGAGAGCTTGGACCCTTTCCATAGCTGCTTGCAGGGGAAGTTAGTTGTCACTTTGTGTTTGAAGTCATTGTGTGCGCACAGTTTTTCATTCTGGTTTTGACCCACAGAAAAGGCCATGGCCGTCCTGACTGGGCCATATTCGGCAGACTCACTGAGCACAATGAGACCATCTTGTTCAAAGAAAAGTTCCTAGATTGGACGGAACTGAAGTCGCCAACACCAAAAGAAGGGAATGAGACTGTAGCTGAGCAGAAGGTGTGAACACTTATCTTAACATTGTGTTTTGACGCTTGACAATTTAGTAAAAATCAAAATACTTATCTTGCTGGTGGCTGCTTTAGATTTATATCATAATTTTCCTCCGTAACTTCTCCCCAGGAGACTCCAGGACGCAGGTGTCGACCCTATGACACATCCCTGATGCTGCCCATCCTCCAGTCGCCCGTTTGCACCATTCTGGACGGGGTGAATGTGGGCCGCGGCTACGGTCCCGTGGAGACGGAGGACCCCATGAGGCTACAGGAGATCAGCACTGCATCTGTGGACGTGTGGCACATCCTGGAGTTCGACTACAGCCGTTTGCCTCGACAGAGTATCGGACAGTTCCACGAGGGAGACGCTTATGTTGTCAAGTGGAAGTTTATGGTTACCACCTCAGGTCAGACTTTTTAAACTTTGTAATCAGTTATAAAATACTCTGAAATCAGCATGGTGTGTTCACATGTTTCGTTTTTTGTCACAGTTGGTCGAAGGCAGAATCCTGAAGCGAGGAGTAGTGGGCCTGGGAAGGAAAAATGCTGCTATTTCTTTTGGCAAGGCAGGAACTCTACTGTCAGCGAAAAGGGGACCTCAGCGCTGATGACGGTGGAGTTGGATGAGGAGAGAGGTTCTCAGGTACAGTCCTGGGGTTAACCTAATTGTGCTTTGTTTTCAAAATAACACAATATAAAAGTAAAACCTCTCTGATTTAAACTCCTGTGTGCATCAGGTCCAGGTGCAGCAGGGAAAGGAGCCGCCATGTTTCCTGCAGTGCTTTAATGGAGGGATGATCATCCATGCTGGCAAGAGGGAAGAGGAGGAGGAGAACACTCAGAGTAAATTCTTTTAGCATCTGTGTATTTTATTCCCTTCCAGTGGCTTGCAAAAATACTTATACCCCTAAATCACTCATATTCCAAACCATGATGCTACCACTACCGTGTTTTAAGGTAGAGATGGAGTTTTACAGTGATGTATGGCCGTTTACATGTGTGTTTCTGGTCTTGACTGAGCAGAGGAAGTTTGATGTTTCCCCTTCATGACTTGTGGTGTAGTGCAAACGGAACTTCTTCTGGCTTTGAATTGTGGCTTTTTCTGTGAATTCTTAGTAAAAAATTCTTCCAGAGCTACATGATATTTAGCTGCTTCTGCATTTAATGCGATATTTTCCAAAATGGTTGGAGAGCCAACCCGTTTTAGGTTTACAGCTTTCCTGTGCTCTCTCTACTTTAAGAAGACTGAGAGAAACATGTTCTCTGAGATGTTAAAAGCGTGGGATATAATGTTTTACAATCTAACTAGGTTGTAAATTTCTCAACGCACTCCCTGACATGTCCGCTGTGTTCTCTGATCATTTGATGCTGTTTGTTCATCAACGTTCTTCAACAATCGACAATGCCTTTACAGCACAGCTGGATTAAATGAGATTAAAGTGGACACAGTTGGAAAGGAATTAGTCAGAGTGGGAGTGGTTGAAACAGATTGTTATTTGGTAAAAAAAAAAAAAAAAGAAGAAAAAAAAGCCATTTCCTTCAGCTTCATTATTATAAATTAATTTGCCCCAAATTGCTTGTGATTTTTTTATTTACCAAAAAATTTGGAAACGAAAACGCTAAGGGTTTTTAATACTTTTGCAAGTCGTTCAAAGATAGATCTATCAAAGATAGAATCAGTACGAGAGATACCATAGCTGATCTTACTACATTAATGATGACTTAATCATATCGAATTTATACGCAGGTGAGTGGCGTCTGTACTGTGTGCGGGGTGAGGTACCGGTGGAGGGTCACCTGTTGGAGGTAGCATGCCACTGCAGCAGTCTGCGCTCCAGAGCCTCCATGATCCTGCTCAACATCAATAAAGCCCTCATCTACCTGTGGCACGGCTGCAAGTCTCAGCTGCACACCCGCAGCGTTGGGAACACAGCTGCGCTTAAAATCAAGGAACAGTAAGGAGGATGTTCTGCCAAGATCTTTGCCTGTGGGACATTTTTTGAAGCTCATCCTAAACACATCTATAATGTTAAGGTGAATCCAGTTCCCTTTTGTCTGTTTTACAGGTGTCCTCTAGAAGCAGGCCTTCACAGCAGCAGGAAAGTGACCATCCATGAGTGCGATGAGGGAGTCGAACCTCCAGGCTTCTGGGAGGCTCTGGGGAGGAAAGACAGGAAAGCTTATGACTGCATGCTCCAAGGTACTCCTCCCACTGGCATGCTTTGTTTTTGTTCTGAAAAATCTACTGTGAAATTTTAAATATATAAAGAATATAGAATTAGATTAAGAATGTGAGTCATTCGGGGTTTTTTTTGTTTTGTTTATTAAATCTGCAAGTCTTTCATTATTTTCCATCAAAGGTAGGGTAATAAAACTGATCTCTTTGTTATATCCACCTCATTTTGGGAAATTCTCGCCTATTTTGCATACCCAAATGGAAAAGCAAATAACTTAGGAACTGTAAGCCCTGATTACACATGCAATACATTATTTGAAAGAGAACACCTTTTAATTTCTAAATATATACATGAAAAGTGAAACAAAGCCCAAACTGCAACAGTTCAAACATGACTAAAAGTTTTGAACAGCAGTAATAAAGACATGCTTGCTTGTTGTGGCTGCTTTGTCATGTTTACATTTTGACATGCTGCTATATCCTGCTGCTATATCCGAGTTAATTGTGCTTTGGTTCTCACTGTGTTCATAAAATGGACATGGTGGTGGAATTGTGGAGAATGCAAGCGTTCCAACGATGTCTAACATGTCTGTATTGGTAAATATTTTTCCGGTGTAATTTTCATGCATTCTGAGTTATTAGTTGTAAACACTTTAAAACGATTTTTTACAGGCGATACAAGCTCCTACGACATATTAGGAAGAAAAAAGGCTCTATTAATCTCTGTTTTGTTCCATCAGATCCAGGTAAATTCAACTTCACTCCACGGCTCTTCCAGCTGAGCAGCACATCTGGAGATTTCGTAGCATCCGAGTTCTACCACCCATCCAGAGCTCCCAACCTGGTCAGCTCGCTGCCTTTCCTGCAGGAAGACCTGTACAACGTTCCACAACCGGGTAAGACCAGAACACCGCCTGCAGGATTTCCCTTTTTTACTGCATCTGTATGATTTCAGAGGGACGGTGAAGGTTAAACTCCATTAATATAATTTAATAATATATATTCACTGATCTATGCATAGATCAGCGGAGAAACTATGAAGGAGATAACAGAATTGTTTGAAGTCTGGATCCTTTTTGGGTAGATTCTTTCCATATATTGAGATAGATGCATTTTTAACCTCTTTAATGGTAGCTTTTGCAATCTCAGTTGTGTTTCTCTAGTTTTGATTATTGTGGAGAAATAATCTTGTTCAGTTTACAATAAAAATATAAATACATGTCTGCATGCCCATCCTCTTTGGTGACTATGTTTTTTTCTCCTGCACAGCCTTGTTTCTGGTGGATAACTTCCATGAGGTGTACCTGTGGCAGGGCTGGTGGCCTCAGGACAGCGAGAGCACCGGCTCGGCCCGCATCCGCTGGGATGCTGACCGGAAGTGTGCAATGGAGACCGTGCTGCAGTACTGCAAAGGTGAAGAGACATTCTTTCTTTTTGCACAAGAATTACACTGCAAAGAACATTTGCTGTTGTTTTGGATACATAATTTGATAAGTTTTGGTGATAGCTGATCATTTTAGTTGATTTTAGTTAACTTTTTTTTCTGTTGCTTCTTCTTGCAGAGAAAAACGAGAAAAAGCCTCAGAAGTCGTATTTGATTCACGCAGGTCTGGAGCCACTCACCTTCACTAACATGTTCCCCAGCTGGGAGCACAGAGAGGATGTGGCTGAAATCACAGAAAGAGTAAGACAAGACGAGATAACATTTTGAGATAAGCAAACGTCTCCAGTGATTGGTGTGCAATTTATTTAGATGAAGCCATTCTTTCCCCTTTTTGATTTTCTGCTGTTTACAGGAGGCGGAGGTGTGTAACCAGATCATCCTGGTGGAGGATGTTTTGGCCCGACTCTGCCAGAACACCTACCCTCTGGCTCAGCTGCAGGCCCGGCCGCTGCCAGAGGGAGTCGACCCGCTCCGCCTGGAGATCTACCTTTCTGACACAGACTTTGAGGTTTGTCAGCGCACAAAAATCAGTCTCACATTATGACAGCTGGCTTAATTCACAGGACAATAATACAAACAAAACCTGTTTTGAACTAAATCCTTCTATAACTAATAAAAAATGAATTTTAATTAATCCTACCCTCTAAACCTCAACAAAGAATAACATAATATTGATTGAAACATCTAACTTTATGTTTTAACATCAAACATTGTATTTCAAAGCCAACATGGACACCCATGTAATCCACCTGACTTCATTTAACTTTCACTTCACAGACTCAGTTGTAGGTGGATTCAGGTAAGAAGAGCTCATTCTTCAGATTGATGACTTTGTCTCTTTGCATGTCTGCACTCTGTTTCTCTCCCAATCCACAGTAGATGAGTAAGAACCCTCCTGCCGCTTGAGTGCATTTCTACTTCAGGGCTTCACATTACGTCCAAAACGATCGCCCTGTATTTGGATTGACAGCCACTGAAATCAGCTTTAGTTGCTGCAGGCGTACCATTCAAGCCTCTTCAGTGGATGGCGAATATAAAATGACACACAAGTAGAATGATTCTGTTCCTATAGGAGGAGGAAGAAAGTTAGACTGCATATCTGTCAGAAAACATCATTCAGCATGACTGATAGGAAGCCGTCTGAAACACGGCCTCTAAAGTACCAAAAAAGTAAAACAAACTGAATAAATTAAACCTGAAAAACATGCAGATATGTGTTATTGACACTGCATCTGTAAAATGTAAGGCTTAGTTTCATGTTTGTTTATTCTGTGTGAAAAAATAACTCATAATATCTGTCAAAAGGACTTAATAGATTTTAGTTCATATTTTCCAAATTACAACTTCAGTTTTGTGGCTTATTGTTTAGGATTTTTGGGTCACAGACAGAAATATCACAAAAACACTCCCTAAAAGCTCAAATTAACTGCTCATTTTATTTTTTCTTCTAAATGGTCTTTGGTTTACACTGCAAATAAACCATTGATGCTCCATTTTTCTTTTTTTTTTCTTTTCTTTTTTTTTAGGATTATTTTACAAATAAAATAAAAGTCTCATAAATCATATACTGCGGGTTTAAAGAATATAGAGTTTGTTTTTGCGTGGCCTAAAACAAAACTTAAAATCAAACAGCTGATGCTAATTGCTTTTGTTCCCAAAAACACTATGAAGTGGCTCTTTATCACACTTCAAGGTCAATCATCAGAGCTGGGATGGGCAATTTCAAGTTCCTGAGGGCCAGTACCCGGTAACTTTTAGTTTCACCCTTTGTCCAACGCACCGGATTCAGATGTGTCTTTTGTCTGCTCAGTATTCAGTCAGTTCCTCCAGACTTCTTCCAATTATCTAATTACTTGATTCAGGTGCGTTGAATCAAAGGCACATCTAAAAGTTGCAGGATACCGGCCCTCAGGAACTGGAATGGCCCACCCCTGCATTAGAGGAACATGTATTTAGTTCTTCCTATGGTAAGAAAACATATTCCAGAAAAGTACGGGATTTAGAAAAAGAACATTTGTGTTAATCGTGTGATCAAGAAATTTTTGAATATAAAAATCATCCAAAAATATGAAAAGTCAGAATTAAAGAATTGTAAAAAAAAAAAAAAAAAAAAACATTTGGTCAACTAAAACAGAATAAAAAAGAAATAGTTTCCTTTTTACAAATAACTTTAGACTTAAATAAAATGCCTTACATGTATATAAAATTCTTAAAATCGCACAAAATAATTTAATACACCTTTGCATTAACATTCAGGAAAGTCCAAAGATTTGTTTAAGTCTGGTTCAATTGTTGAGCTGGATTTCATGTTACGATCGTTGCTGAAGGCCACATCTGACATAAACCACGTTAACCTGTGAGACTTTAATCCCTGCATCTCTCTCTCCTCTTCTCTTTTAAAAAACACCACTTTCACTTGATGTTCTTCTCTCTCAGATTAAAATAGCCTTTAATGACTCACCCTTTTTCTGCACTGCAGTTTGATTCACCTGTTTGTTGAGCACAAAATAAAGACACTAAAGCCAGCAGAATGAATGCATGCGGTATTTTATCAGAGACCTCTGGGCACAGAATGTGTCAGAGTTTAAACTCTGCAGGTCACTTTTTCACCATCAGAGGAAGCATACAGAACAGAGCAATGTGCATCCAGCATGTCGTGTGTTAAGTCTTAGATTCTGATATAGACATTTATTTTAGTCTGTCATGGATCACTGTTCCAGATATTGTCCTCAGTTTATTGGTTGATATTGTAAGGGGTGTTCATTGGTGAAGTAAAAGCAGGATCCACATACAGAGAATATAGCATTTTTTGGCCCCCATAGCGATACCCGATACCTGGCTTTGCACTATTGGCTGATACCGATACCGTACTGATACCAACTGTTTGAAATTGATGTGTGTGTTTATATATAAAGAACTGCATACTACTTGGATGTAAAATAATTGCCATCATGGCTTTATTTGTCAAGCTGCCGCCTACCTTTGTGAAGCAGGAAAAAGACTAATACAAAGTTAATCCAGTAGAACTTTTTATTGCCTACCTGGAATGGGTGGCAATAGTTGAATAAACTTTTGGCTCCCAAATGGTATCGGTGCCCTATTTGTTGGTACTCACCGATACCACTGTGTTAGTTCTAGATTGGGGCCCTGCTCGATACTGGTATTGGTATCGCTAGTTTAAATAATAAAACTATTGACTTAAAAAGGTTATTTAAGTTTGCATAACGCTTTATAGCCCTTCTTATATGTCATCTGACTTAAGAGGTTGTTGTAGTGTTACATATTTGATTTGGTTTGCTGTTCCGCCACAGTAATTTCAGTATGTAAAAAAAAAAAGAAAAGAATTGAACCTAAAAAAGATCCTGAACAGGAGAACCCAATTGATGTGTTTTCCAAACTGACACTCAAATATTCCAGCCTCAAACCAGACAGAGCCCAGATTTGGGAGAGTAGTAACTGAATGTAAAGAGGCCGCCTGCTAAACCATGAGGCATGTGGGGAAATTGGAAGCCAAGACTATTTTTACCACCAGGGGGCAGCAGAGGACATTCTTAAAAAATGGAAATAGAAACAAATAATTACAAACAAAGCAAGCTTGGTGTGCATTACTATTTCATGATCAGGTCATATAGGAGCTTGATTTTTAATTATTACATACAACCTACATTTATACATACTAATAAAAAATGAACAGACTGAATTTTGTAATGTGCTTTTTTAGTCATACAAGCATCAGCACAGTATAATAAAGTCACATTCACCCAACTGCACACAATAATTGGGTGTTAATTTTTAAAAGTTAAATGGAACACTTTGACAAATAACAGGAAAAAGCTGTAATTGAACATGAAACCATCATTACTTAAAAGTAATAAAGTAAGTAAGAAAAATATGTATCCTACTTATGTCGCAGGTATTATTGGTTCCCTTTTTTAGCAGATTATGATTTATTTTAAGAATTAGTTTTTCCTTTAAAGCCATGTGTGGAACTAACACTGCTGTAACAGCAAAGACTGATCAGAAGAAGTCTTGTTGGTTAATTCAACTAATCAGATTTTAAGGTCTGTCACAATCCTTAAGGAAATTTTAGATTAATACATGGTGCACTACTGCACAGATAGCATGAATTAAAATATAGCTAAAAATGATATATGGCTTAAGATACAACAGTCTGTGTGTGGTGCTGGTGCAGCGGTTAAGCCCACACCCCGTCAGTCCTTGACCTGACATGAGTTCCAGTTCTGCCCCGTTGACCTTTGCCGCATGTCTTCCCCTTTTCTTTCTGTCCAATTTCATTTTAAACTGCAAAAAATGAAATTTAAATAAGTCCTTTTTTTCTTAAAATAAGCATATGCATTTTTCTTAAATTGAGGAGATAAGTGAGATCCTTTGCCAATTTACATTTAAAATACGAAATAATTATCTTATTTTAAGATTAAAAACACTCTTTCCATTGGCAGTCATCTTACTGACTCAATTTTAGAGTAAAGATACTTGATTTAAGAAATTTTTACTTATTTCTAGATTGTTTTTGCAGTGTAGCTCACTTTAAAATAAGAGAAGAATACTGTAAAGGCCACTTGTGCCTAAAAATAAATAACTTCGTAAGTTTCAGATTTTTGCTCTTTTGGTTGAATGCATTGGCCTTAGCTGGCCTTTCAACAAAACTTCAAGAGAAACTGGTTACTTTAGGAAGATCACGAAAAATATGAAGTTTCAAAGAGAAGGAGAACAGTGGTTGATTAAAAATATAGGAACTTTACTTTTCTAAGAGTTTCTAATCCACAGCATTTCTAAAGAAAATCGGAGTATTTTGGATACAGCACCTCAATTTTTGTTCTTATGAAACTTTTAAAAGATATTTTTAATTTATTCTGCCCTTGCAACTGATGCATTTCTCCACTATTTGCTGCAGAAATCCATAGTGCTTCAATTACAGCCAGACTTGTTTTTATGTCCTGAACCCCCCTTTCTTTCTCTTTCTCCATCTGCAGAAAGCTTTGGAAATGAAGAGAGAGGACTACGAATGTCTACCTGGGTGGAAGCAAGTGAACTTAAAGAAGGCCAAAGGACTGTTTTAAGCACATTAACTAAAGATGGAAAATGAAGAAGCAGAAGAGTGAATGAGACAGGAATACCAGAAGAAATGGAAGAGAGCGGAAGATTAGACCGATGGCGTTTTACTCAACTGTGTCAGTATGAAGCAGAATTAAATACATAATTGAACTTTATTGATCTCACATTGGAGGAATTTATCTCTGCATTTATCCCATCCCCTTGGGGAGCAGTGTGGGTTAAGGGTCTCGCTCAGAGAGCCAGAGTGGCAGGCTGTGGGGATCGAACCAGGTGCTTGCAACCTTCTCAGAGCACTAGGCCAACACTCCCACCTACATGCTGTTTGTCAGCAGGGAAAATTGATTCGCCGTGATTCAAATTTGGGCTTTAAACCTTCCTCTGAGAAGGAAGAAAAGATGATAAAAACATCCTTAGCCGCTTGTTGTCAGAGTGCCATGTCGTGGCTGTATGCGTGCGATTGTATATAATGTTTGTGTGACTAATGGTTCTTGCTGTAAATGTGTCTGTAAGCGACTTTGTACCCTTGTAAAGAGGAACATCAGGTGTTGCAGAGTAAAAAAATGCTGCCAGGCCTCATAGATGACTCTTAATCGACTTTGTTGCAGACTCTGGCTAACATAAAGGACCCAGAGGTGAGTGGTAACAGAAAGAGAGGAAACACAGTGCCTTGCTTTTTGTGTACAGTTTATTTACAGAAATTTTAGTCTGCATTTTTAAAGACTTTCTTTGTGATATAAGACATAGTGGATTAAATAAAAAGAAATGCCCTAAACTAAATGTGAAGTTATTTATTTCCGAACGCTGCATCCACACATAAAGACAGAGCCGGCTCTAGGTTCATTGGTGCCCTGGGCGAGAGGGGCCCTTTGCCGCCCCCTCCCGTTCAGCTTGTGCTCTTCCCAAAAGGCAACACCATGATTATTGCTGAATTATTCATGTTTTATTTGAAATGCTCCAACAGAAACATTTTTCAAAAGCAATAACCCCAAGAATAAATTTAAGCTTGAGGGATAGAATTACAATATTGCAATAACTAACAACTACAAATCTGTGCCAAATCAAAAGCAATATAATCAAAAGAAAAGCTGAAATATCATTTGTTAATACAATATATTTTAAAAAGCAAGAGCCAAAAAGAAGAAATATAAACTTGATTAGTACCCTTAGATCAACTAATCACATTAACCAAATGTTTTTTTTTAAACAAGAACAAAACTAAATCCAGCACAGAACAATGCAATTAAAAGCAAAACTCAAAAATATCAAAGTGTCATTGTGAAGACATTTCTACTTTATATTTTGGTCATCTTTATTATAAATAAAACTTATTTATTATATTTATTTGCTAAAGTGCCTTCTTTTTAGGTTTGGAGAAGCTGGAAAAGATTATTTAAGCAATTTAATCATATTAACCATATAAAGCATTTTAGCATTTATAGAGATTTGAAAATTCAATATTTAAAAGAAAATTTGAAATGAAAAGTTAACTATAAAAATATGTTTTTTTTATGTTTATAGATCAGTATTAGTAGCCCTTCCTATGACTGAGTAGCCCTGAAGAAGTCTTCAGTCTTAAAAAGGTTCGTGACCGCTGTTATAGGTCATCAAATCATTGTCAGTTTAGTCTAATGCTACGTTCAGACCGCACACTGCTGGAGCAGCAGAAGCAGCTGGTTTACATACAGAGTCAATGGTTGATGGGCATCAAGTTGCAGCAAAAGGTCCTTCCAGCTGCCAAGAACAGTAGCGGTAAACCCCTAAGTGGCGACCGGGCCAGAGACTGCTGTTGCTGAGGATTTCCAGTGACAGAGCACCGCCAGTGTATAGGGGTTTTATAATAACAAAAGGTAGGATCAGAAGCTTGGTAAACTGACCGCACAGATGAAGTTTTGAGGTGGACTTTCTTACTGAAAAATATATTAATACTACTTTTTACCCACTTAAAACAGCAACTATAGCAAAGCGGCTCTCTGTCATTGAACACAGGAGCAGCAGAAGCATCAGACGCATCTGGACACACTTTACAGGACACGCTTCAGGGGCGTCAATAATGATGTTGAGGCGCGTTGGACCGTAATGTGTACAAGCATCAAAAATGAAGCAGCGGGTGCTTTTTTGCTGCTTCTATTGCAAGAGGTTTGAGGGTAGCATAAGAAACAGCCTGTATATCAATTCAGTTCAATTCAATTCAGTTTATTTCTATAGCGCCAATTCACAACACATGTCATCTCAAGGCGCTTTACAGTTCACCCGATCATACAGTCAAATTGATTCAAAGTTTTCTATCTAAGGAAAACCAGTTGATTGGAAGAAACCTCCAGCAGAACCGGGCTCAGTGTGAGCGGCCATCTGCTGAGGTCGACTGGGGTTCAAGGAGACAGAAGCAGACATAGAAAAAGCAGAGACACAAAAGGCAGCTGTAAAAGGCATCCCCGTCCAGGAAACACAGCCAGGCAGATGAGCTCTGAGCCAACTCCCATGTCAGAGGATGAAGAGAGCACATCCAGCCAGTCACAGTCAGAAACAGGACTACACTGAAAAACAGGCCGATCTCCAACATCTAGAAACAAAGGTGTTGATGGCAGCAGCACTGCGGATGGAATCACAGCCAAACAGGAACAGCCGAGGCAAAGCTACTATGAGAAAAAGCAGAGAGAACAGAAAGTTAGAGATTGAATTAACAGATTCTGCAGAGTGGGAGAATAGAGATAGAATTAAGCAGAATGATGAAATAGGAGTCCCTATGTCTTCCAGCAGTCTAGGCCTATAGCAGCATAACTATAGAGATAGCTCAGGATAATCTGAGCCACTCTAACTATAAGCTTTATCAAAAAGGAAAGTTTTAAGCCTGGTCTTAAAAGTAGAAAGGAGTCTGCCTGGTAGTTGGTTCCACAGGAGAGGAGCCTGATAACTAAAAAATCTGCCTCCCATTCTACTTTTAAAAACTTCTAGGAACCACTAGTAAACCTGCAGATTGAGAGCTAAGTGCTCTGTTCAGTACAACTCACAAAAGGCTGAACAATGCCTCAGACAGCAAAACATGGGGATATGGGACTTTTTAACATAATACAGCTGCAAACAAGTGGAATTTTCTAATTGTTGAACTATTGAAGATCACAGAGCATGTAAAAAATAGAAATTGGTTTTCTCATTTTTAACTATCTGTTCTGTACTGGTGTCATGACCAAATCCACTTCGAGATTAACCTTCAAACCTCCAATGTGGTTAAATAAGCAAACTAGGAACTTCAGGGATGCAAAATTCAAATCTGAAATTCAATCTAGATATCTGACAAAAAAACGTAGCCAGTTTAATATAGTTAAATGGTTTATTTGCACATTTATTGTTGTAAGCAGAACATCTAAAATTTCCCTTTGTAAACCTCTTTATCAGTTGAAATAACTGTTATTTTTCTATTTTCTGCCTTCTCTTGGATTTCTTGTTCTGGATTTTGATGTATGGTGTATATAGTATATATGATTATAGTATATATCATGGTACATCGCTACTCCCAGCTGGTAAGGAAGGTGGATCCGTTGCTGCCAAAATACAGAAAATCATCCCAATCTCTGATAATCTGTGTTTTTATTTACTTTGTTTTCTCTGCTCTTTTGGGATTACCATGTTCTTCGCCTGTTACCTTAGTTTCCAAACACCGAAAACAATGAAGGTCTATTAAATGTAATAAAGAATACAACTTTAAGTGGGATTATTTGCATTTCAGAGATATCTAGGGGGGAAAATTCACTGCAGAACACATTTAATAACAGTCAATACAAATAAAATGACATACATTATGCTACAGTTAATTAGGTATCCTACTGTTAACCTTTGCTCATTGGCGTCTTCTTGGCTTAGAACATTTCCTCTAGAGGAGACCAATTTTATAATTTGGACTGAGTGTGAGCAGCACTGCAGCTCAGGTGAGCTAGAAGGAAATCTTGCATCTTCTTCCACAGGTGGAGTTCAGCTGCAGCATGAGCTTTGGGCTCTCCACCCCACACCACTGGACTCCTGAGCAACCAGTGCAAAGCGGAGGC